TTGGTATTCTTTGATTTGCCAGATTTTGTGGTATCATAAACATTAGCAACCTTTCTTCATGGTTCTATATAAGAATTAGAAAATAGTTCCTCACTGCAGAAAAGGTTCTTGGAGGTTTTTAAGAAATGTTTTTTAACCTTTTTAAAATTTCGTATAGCTTTTGTGTTTATTGATTTGATATTAATGCACTGCATATTAATATAAAGGCCATATACTTTAATTTTGGGGTAAGATTTGACCTCATAGACCTCCTGAGTCCTATTCTAATGAAGGACCAAACTTGGAAAGTAAATATTATTTGCCCTGGCTTACATTACCTGAGTCTGAAAACAGGGAATGAGAATTGTTAACATTTTAAAAAGTGTACTCAGTTTGATGGCCTTGTTTCTTTGGTTTACTAATTAGCATTCTTATGTACAAAATCAAAGATTTTTACTTTATTGTTGTTTTCTTAGATAGCAAAACTTTTTAAGGAAATGCTTTATTTTGACCTTATTATAGCTTTGATTATTTAAGACAATAAGGCAAAAATTTCTTACTTATGAAAGAACTAAGTTTCTTTTTCGTTTTTTGTGTCATTTCTGCTTATTTTCCAATGTTTTCTTATTACCAAATATTGCTTTAAAGTCATCTATGATCCTAGCTAAATGAAGTGTCTGCATTTTCTATGAGAACTTTGGAATTTTGCTTTCCCAAATTCAGAACCTAAATGCAGGAAAATAAAATAATAAATAACCAGGATATCTTTTACACCTTAAACAATTTCTGAGATTTCACAGACACTGAAAATATCACAGAGATTTATAATTTCATCTTATAAAAAGAGAAGTGCTAGAAACAGTTTTGCTTGAAATGTTACTGTTGTAAAAGTTTATAGGAAACTTGTCTAATAAAAATAGACTCTCAGCCTTCCCTATGATACAATTGTATAAATTGTTACTAATATAAATATTATAAATATTTTAGAAATTGCTTTATGGGAAGTTCCTGGATATTTGTCAATTCTCCCACTTTCATAATATTTTCAACAGCCCTTATTTGTGGAGCAATTTTTAATTCACAGCAAAATTGAGAAGAAGATATAGAGATTTCCTGTAGACCTCCTGCCCCCATACCTACTTGCACAGCCTCCTCCATTATCAGCATTCCTCACCAGAGTGGTACATTTGTTAAAATTGATGACCCTATATTTGCATAGTAGTATCACCCAGAATTCATAGTTTACCTTAGGGTTTGTTCTCAGTGGTCTACAGTTGATGGATTTGTACAAGTGTATAATAGGCCTGTGTCTATCTTTCCAGTATCATACAGAGTAGTTTCACTGCCCTTTAAATCCTCTGTCTTCTGCCTATTCCTCCAGTCCTCCAGAACTTTTTCTCGCTCACTGTGAACCTTGTAAAGAGAATCAGTCTTTTTATTCCTCACAGTTACAAGCCAAGAAAAAAATCCTTGTGAATAAATGACAACATAAAACAACTTTGGGTTCCTTGAAAAGAAGATATGAATCCATTTTTAAACAAATATTTCTTTTTGTTGTCTTCATGTATTTGAGTTGCAGGCTACTCACTTTATATCTTGCTTTACAGATAAATAAATGGTTAACCAGAGTTGATATGCCATGGCTCTAAATGAACAGTTAATAGAACTGTGGACTCTGGAAAGTTTGTCTAGAGCAGGTCTGGAATCACCACCAGTTTCCAGTTACTTATCGCCAGTGGATGCAGAACCCCATCAACATGGGAAATCCTTTGATACACATTAAGACTAAGATGATATTGCCTAGGATGCATCTGCTATAGTTCTGTTTATTACTGAGATCAGTTATATTGCCTTGGCTGTTTTCAAAAGTATTTTTCTTGTGTGTTGCTTTAGTAGTTAGCATCAGTAGAATTAAAGCTGGAAGGAATGAACAATTATACACACTATTATGGATGAATATTTCAAACAACAATGTGTTGAGCAGAAGAAACCAGGTACAAGAGTATACACTTTGTGATTGCATTTATGTAAAGTTAGCAAGGCCAACCAGTCTGTTGTGTTAGAATTCAGGATAGTTGTCAATTAGGAATGGGGAGGGGCAGTGACTGTGATGGGACAAGAGGGAGATGGACTCAGCTTGTGAAAATTCATTAAGCTGTGCAATTATGATTTGCGCATTTTTTAACCAAAAACTTGAAATAATTATAGCAGTTATAAGATAATTGAGGGGAAGAAACAGCTGCTGAGTTAAAGCAGGAATAATAGGAGGGCCCAAGATGGGGATGGGGTGAGGCTGAGCCAGGGTGAATACCACTGGTATAACCCAAACACCATGTTTTGGAGCAAAGAAAAGAAGGGTTCCCCTAGAGACAAATTACACAGCTACTTGATGACAGCATTTATTAATGTATTTAATAATGCATGCATATTGAGCATGTACTGTGTCCTAGCTATGGGGCAGGATGCCTGTATATAGGTGGAAACCAGAGTGACCATGCCAGATCCTGCCCTTTTGGAGTTTCTTTATTTTTTTAGAACAACTCATGATTGTCTTTATTTGTTCATTTTACATTTTTATTGGAATATAGTTGCTTTACAACATTGTTTTAGTGTCTGCTGTAGAGATAAGTAAATCAGCTCTATGTATACATGTATCTCCCCTTTTTGGATTTCCTTCCCATTTGGGTCACCACAGAGCATTGCGTAGAGTTCCCTGTGCTGCATAGAATGTTCTCATTAATTATCTATTTTATACATATTTTATACATAATGGGTTTCCCTTGTGGCTCAGCTGGTAAAGAATCTGCCTGCCATGTGGGAGACCTGGGTTCGATCCCTGGGTTGGGAAGATTCCCTGGAGAAGGGAAAGGCTACCCACTCTAGTATTCTGGCCTGGTGAATTTCATGGACTGTATAGTTCATGGGGTTGCAAAGAGTCAGACATGACTGAGAGACTTTCTCCCTCACTTTTATGCATAATGATGTATATATGTCCACCCCAGTCTCCCAATTCATCCCATCTACCCTCCTTTACCCCTTGGTATCCATAGGTTTGTTTTCTATGTCTGTGTCTCTGTTTCTGCTTTGTAAATAAGATCATCTGTACCATCTTTTTCAGATTGCACATGTAGACATTAATATACGATATTTGTTTTTCTCTTTCTGACTTAGAAGTCAGGTTTTCTAGCTGACTCATTTACATGACCCGCCCCGCCTAGTAGACATTTGAGTTTGCATTTCCTTGGCTCATATTCATCTTCCTATTTCAGAAAGCTGGGCATTTCATTTTGTTAAGGCACAGGCTAGAATTTCCTTTCTTCTTCTCCTTGTTGCATGTTTTGTTGCGTTCAAGGAAGAATGTTCTGAGAATTGTGTTTAGTTTAATATTCTTTGCAAGAGACCCTGGTCTTCCAGAGAGGCTGTGATAGGGAGCAGAGAGAATTCTTGCTACATCCTCCTCTTGGCCCATAGAATTGAGTCCCCATCATGTCTGTGTGGGTAAACTCATTCACAGCACTTGGCTCCCAGGCTTGTCATTTGATCAGGCTCTCATCTGCATGTCAATGAGGCTTAAAGCCCATGGAAAGAATTAACTGGTCTTGGATGTTTATGCAGCTTTTCAGCAAAGGCAATTGAAAGCAAAGTTGCCCTGACTGAGTTGATTGTCTTGGAGCAAATATATAGTGAAGTAATCATGTTAATATTATGTGACTAGAGTTATATGATATTTTCAGTGATCAGCCTAGTAGGAGTTTAAACATGAACAAAAACACAAACTAATCAAAAACAGTAAATGAAACATCCCTTTTAAAGCAGATCAACTGGCCTTTTATTTTTATACTCTTTTTTTTCAGAGTAAAGCATAGGACAAACTCAGGTTTCTTTGGAGTTTATGAACCATGTTTTCTATTTTCTATTGCATTTTAAAACCAACAATATTAATTTACAGTTGTATTTCTTTTCTGTTAGGGCTAATTAAAGAAAACATGTTTGTTTTTCTAGGCACACTCCCAAATTTGCAAGTGCAAGGATACAAATTCTGGTTTTATGTTCCAAAGGAATGTTTAGGTTTTGAGATCATACTACTCTTTAGTAAAATAAAAGTTAGTGTGTGAGGTGGGTACATGCATTCTTTGTTCAAGAGTTTAGCCTCATACCATAGACGTTTCTAGAGAGGTAAGCAAATTCCATGCAAAGACTTTTCTGTTACTTCACAGGTTATATAAACACACAACAGATTCAACTCAGATTTAAAATCGTGTTTCAGAGGCCATAAATTTATTAGGTAAGACCCCTCAAAATTTGTACATTCCTTTTGTTTGCTTAATGTTTCTCATCTGTAGGATGGCCTCCCCTAAAAAAAAAAATCTCAAAAAAGCTTGATTTTCACATTCTTTCAAAGTGAGAGATAGCCATATAAGATCCTTCATGATTTTCCTTCTAAGTAAAGTTGAAGCAACTCTGTGCCAATACATAATGGTATAGAGCAGTGGTCCCCAACCTTTTTGGCACCAGGGACCAGTTTTGTGGAAGACAGTTTTCCCATGGATCGAGGGCCATGGTTTAAGGGGAGGTGGTTCAAATGCATTACATTTATTATGCACTTTATTTCTATCATTACATCAGCTTCACCTCAGATCATCAAGCGTTAGATCCTGGACGTTGGAGACCCCCTGGTATAGAGTGAAGCCCTATTCTATAAAGTGATTAGGTTATAAACTTGGTGTGTAAGGTAGAAAACACGTCTAGTCACAATAACCCCTGAATGCCTGTTAAATTGCCCTTAAAATCCACCTTCCCATAAGCCCAGTGCTGTCAGCTTTTCCTCCAGCATTGGAAACAGTGCTTTGTCTTTGCACATCAGATGATGTAGGGCCACATTATAGGGAAAAGTAACACTAGATCCTACACGACATGGTAGGATTCCCACAGCATGAAATGGAACCAAATCAATGGTTGGAACAGCTAATTTCCTATCTTGAGTCTCATGTTCATTTTCAGGCCCAGACTCGTTGAGGAGAATGGTGAGTAGAATTTCTCATGTTATGTCAATTGCCTTCCTTCCTTCCTCCCTCTCACTATAGAGCTGAATTTAAGTTAATGCCTATATACAATGATACCACTGTATCTGTGAGGCCCCTCCAGGGCTTTTTATGTGCAAAACACACCAACAGACATGTCAGGGAAAATATGTTATCAATTCCAGGGTTAAACACTTGAAAACAATACAGTAATGAAAGGTTGAAGTGGTCTGAACCCCAACTCTCCTACTGGATAGCATATGATTATGGTTTAGTATAACTGGTTCTGAAGGTGGGTGGCATTTATACATGTATAAATATATGTAGATTGTGTTTAATACTGTGCCAAAATGTATTTTGGCAACAATAGATGTTGCAAGAGTTGGCTTCCTTTTTAAAAGGTCATTACACAGTTTATATGCCTAAAGTTCTTTCTGACTGGATTGAAATAATTGGGCACATTTTACTTACAATTTTATACACACACACACACACATACACACACATACACAGGCTTCCTGACATGTTGATAAGGGCTTTTATGGCTTGACTGCTTCTGGGAGTTTGAGCACCATATTTTTCTCACACTGTTCGACAGTTCAAATGGCACTCCAGCCGGGCGCGGTGGCGCGTGCCTGTAATCCCAGCTACTCGGGAGGCTGAGGCTGGAGGATCGCTTGAGCTCAGGAGTTCTGGGCTGCAGTGCGCTATGCCGATCGGGTGTCCGCACTAAGTTCAGCATCAATATGGTGACCTCCCGGGAGCCGGGGACCACCAGGTTGCCTAAGGAGGGGTGAACCAGCCCAGGTCGGAAACGGAGCAGGTCAAAACTCCCGTGCTGATCAAATGGCACTCCATCCCCAGAGTGATACTGGGGATTAGCTCTACAGTTCCCTTTCAAATCGACCTCCTTGATTTTTTGCCTTCCTTTCTCTCACACACATGCACTCTCACCACCAGTCATGCATCACCAAGGCCTGTTGGCCCCACCCTCTGAGCACACTAGAGTCTGGCTCTGGTGTGGTCCTAGCCAAGCCACTGCAGCATCAGGTCTGACTCTGGGTTCCCTCCTGAGTGCTGTTTCTACCCTTCCATTCTTACAGTTTGGTCTCTAACCAGCTGCTTGTCTGATCTCATTAAATATAATCAGCTCATGATACTGCCTCTGGTTGCAGCCATTCACTGCCTTCCCTCCACCATCAGAGTAAACTTCAAACTCCTTTCCATGGGCCATAAAGCCATGAACCCCCACCCCTCCACCTGCTTCTCAGACTTGGTCTCCTCAAACTTGCTTGCACCTATTCTCCTCCACATTAGCCTTCCCGCTCTTTCCTTCTGTTGCATTCCCTCTCACTGGAGACCTTTTGCACTGGCAGTTCCCTCTACTTGGAATCCTCCTCCCCTACATTCTGTGTGTCGTGATGTCTTTTGTTAAGAAAAAACCCTTTCTTGATCCACCATAATTTAAAAAGTCCAACCTTCTCCCCCTAGTCATCCTCAGTCTGCCTTTTTTCTTTGTTGCTCTTACCCAAACCTGAAAATACTTTCTATACTTGTTTGTTTATTGTCTGATTAATCCATTGGAATTGTGCTGTCTAGTATGGTAGCCATTGGTCACATGTGATTATTTAAATTTAAACATAACAGATGAAAATGAAATAAAATCTGAAACTGAGCTCTTCAGTGGCCATGGCCATCTTATAAGTGCGCAGTGGATACTAGCTTCTCGTGGCTACCTCATCAGACAGTGCCCATTTAGAGCATTCCATTATCTATATGTATACACAATGAAATACTACTCAGCCATAAAAAAGGAATAAAATAATGCCATTTGCATCAACATGGATGGATCTAGAGATTATCATACTAAGTGAAGTAAGTCAGACAGAGGAAAACAAATATCATATGACACCACCTATATGCGATATCTAAAAAAAATAATACAAAGGAACTTATTTATGAAAGAGACTCAGACACAGGAAAACTTTTGGTTCCCAAAGGAAGTGGACAGGGGAGGAATAAATTAGGAGCTTGAGATTAACAGATATATAGTACTATATATAAAATAGATAAACAAAAGCACTGACTGTATAAGACAGGGGACTATATTTTAACAACTGAGTTTTCTTAGGGCAGTGAGCCTGTCTTGCTTATTCACTGCTGAATGCTCAGTGGCTGAGTCTGACACATGATGCTCGATAAATGTGTGGCAGGAAGGAAGAAGAGAAGGGAGAGGGAAAGGAGAAGGAGGGAAAGAAGAGCCTTGTATCTTTTAGGAAGAGATATCTTTATCACTTTAGTGTTCGTCTCTAGTCCTTCTGTACCCCAAAACAGGCTTAAATTTCAGGCTTACAAAATTTCTTTTTTATATATAAGGGAAGCCTTATATGCAATGGAATCCCTTCGAATTCCCCTGTGTTTGCCACCTTTTGTCTCTTCTAAGAGTCTCACTTTGGGGACTCCAGCCTACAAAGAGAGACATTATCAGACTTCCAGGAGAAAAGCACATTTTTCCTGGTCTCTGTCTAGTACAATAAACCATTTTCCTTCCTTTATGCACAATGGATGTATGCACAATGTTTTTTTCTCTAAGGCTAGAGTTCTCAAAAGTTAGAAATATGGAATGTGGGTACCTGCAGGTTATTTGTGTAACTTTTCTGAACTTACCTTGTGGAAACCATACTTCTGCGAGGTGTCTTGGCAATGTAACAACTCTGCATCACACCAATTGGTGAGATGTTTAGCATAAGGATTGCAGCTGAGTGTTGATTAAAAGCAGCACTTTCCTCCTGGCTTGCTTCAGAGCTAAGACCCTTATAAATTGTTGCTATGAACTTTTGAACTCAGAGAAACTTCTGGATATATGTAATAAGACGTAAGGTGATCCAGAGCTAAGAATTTGTGTCTTCCTTGTGACAAATCACATCTATTAAAAATAAGTCTGATGCTTTGCTTTTTAAGATTTTCCTCTAACTTAATGCTTTAAAAATTATCTGAAACCTTTAAATACACTTTCTAAAGTGTTTTTTTAAGTTCTTAATATACAATTGTCTAGATAGGAAATGATTCCATATAGTTGATATAAAAATAAGAATGGTTTCAGAAACAGTACTTTGTTATTTTTGTTTTAAGACAGAGAAATCTATTGTTTAAGCCCACAATAATTTACTAAACTATGCTCTGAAGCCTAGATTCTAGTTAGATTTGAATTATCAAAATAATGTCACAGCATTTAAATTTCTGAGTAATTTCACACTGAATATTCTTTTGCCCCGAGTGACAGCATATGTTTAAATCTTGAACAGAACAAATAAACTTTGTGGATTCTCTATGCCTTTCTTCACAAAGCTTTCTGAATCAGTGAATACCTTTATTTAATAAGATCTTATGAGAGAATTATAATAGCTATTAGAGGAAAGTCATATTCATTTTATTTTTTTGGAAAAAGGTAGAGCAGAATATGTCTTTAAAAGCCAAGTGCTCATCAGCCCATGAATCTGTAGTTGTAGAGATAAAGAGCTGGGTCTCTAGCATATGTTGCTGTTATTTGTAGCCACACATGATGGGTCGTGCTCCAAGGATTCCTGGGTAAGGAACATGCTGCAACTTGGAGAACCTGCTGGATTTTAAGCACCTCTTTATGCAGTCAGAGTTGATGGTTTTGTACTGGTGGCTGGGCTCTTTCATGCAGAAGTGGGAAAACATTGTTCCAGAGAGCACCTGTAAACACTTTCCCACCATGCTTTTTGAATTTTAACATTTGATGTCGAATTGCTTTTGGCTGCTTGAGACCTAAATATTTAGTAACATAGCCAGCCCTCCCCTTGAAAAGAGTATCCCACAACAAGCAAATGCCTGGAAGTGCTTCAGCTGTCCATAGCAGCACCAGTTGAACAGAATTCCTGGAGCCTCTTGGAGCTCCGGGCCTTCTGTCTTCTCGTTAGGCTAGTTGTTCAGCCAGTCCCAGAAATTAACATTGCAAGTGTCTTTCTCATGAAGATTGGTAATGAATAGGGTTATATTAGAGACTGAGCTGAAAGCTACTGGTTCCCACCAACTCCAGCATTCCGGCCCCCAGTATCCCGTCTCCTGAGGGCCTTAGGAATATTATTCACTGTAGATTGTAATCCTTTCTCCAACAATGACCTGCTTTGTAAACTAATAATTGGCTTATCCCCATGTCTCAGTTTTCCTGTCTCTGAAACGGGGATGGTTATAACTACTTTGCAGGGTGGTTGTAAGTTTTACAGATTAGGCATGTGAACTGCCTGGCATGTGGAAGCTTCTCAAAAATAGTACTGTCTCTTTAGATTCATGAAATTCGTTAGCTGGAACTCTACTTGAAGAGGAGAAATGGCTTTTTGGATCCCTTTCATTTAGCACTTAAGTTTTATTTTGTAATGTCTCCAAGTATTCTCATGAAAAAAAAAGTATGATTATGTGTACCAGAGGCCCTTATTATCTGAGAATAATCAGGAGAGGAATAAAAGCCCGCTTAAAAAGTGAAGTCACTAAAAACTTTAACATGTTTTCATAGTAAATAGTAAAACACACAAAATTCTCGTCATTCGAATCTCTCTTGAAAAATTAAATAGAAATTATGGAAATAAGTCCAGCTATGCCTCAGTTTGTATTTAATTAGACCTAGGTTAGATCTTTAGAATGAATTGCCTGTTAATTCTTTCAACAAAATTATACATTTATGCTACATGACATCCTTTATTTTGTATTTGTCTTTTTAGTACATAATGATGGTCATTTTTGCAAAAAAAAAAAAAAAGGTCCTTGTGCTTCATCAAGTTATCCAAAGCGTTATCTTTACCTTTTACTCATCAAATCATTCTCTTGTGAAACATCTGTTTCACCATCATCCTTGTTGATGTGTTTCTGGAATTACTAACCCCTCCAACGTTTTCCAGTGACCTGATGTGTATTTTAAGCAGTTACTCAACACAATTTCAGACTTCATGGATCCTGATCTTTTGCAAGCTTTGCAGTTTTGC